GAAAGAACCGAGGAAGAGAAGTCTAGTTTAACTGACTTCGTGGGGTAAAAGCCGTCTCAGCAATCCTTTAATTTCATTTGGCAGTATTGCTAATGCAGTTTAGCTGGCAACGAATAAATTTAAAGCCTCATTGGCAATTTTGTTCACATCATAAATTAGAAGCACATAATTGAGATTGATGTATAGATATTGAATAATTTAGTCCTTATGAACTGGTTGTAATTTAAATCTATATTTGCTGTCACACTTAGAACATTACTAGTGTAAACAAATATTTAAAGTGTTATTAAGTCATAGTCTGGTTGGTGCATAGAAGACTAATAGTCACTTTCTGTGACTTTGCATTTATTATTGATGCAATTAGATAGAAAAGCTTTTTTAAATTCATGTCATTAGATGTGCTATTGGTTGGTTGGTTCATGGAGGCAAAACACTTGACACAGCTACTAGCTCCCTGTTTAAAGATCTCTACTGCCCTCTGCAGACAGATGTCAAACCCAGCAGCCCATATACAAAGACACACTAATACTTTGACTGACGTGCTAGTCAGCTGTTTAGTGAAAATGACACCATGAAGCCGTCTTGCTACAGTATGTAGAAGAGGGTTTCCAGTAAATAAACCTACTGCATGTCAAGCTTACACTTATGATTTCAATCAAATTGAATATCAACTTCTATACAGCATTCCTAAAGCTTTTATCCAATTGTTTTAATTAAATATTCATTTGTGAGAATTATGACAAATGATATTTGAGCATGTACATGTTGTGGATTTAGTCCTCCAGGAGATGGAGCCAAATACTAATAAAAGACATCTAATGCTGACATGGTGAGGTACCATCATAGGCACACTTTGGCACAACATGTTTGGAGTAGGCATTTTACAAAGCTCCCAGCTTGAACTGAACTGTCCTGAACATGCATTGATACGTGTTTATTGATAAAAACAGAATAATATCCATAATACATTATCACAAACACCGACTCTCAGGCTTTAATACGCTGTTGGAGGCCTAAATGAAACGGACAGAAGGCATGTGCACCTGCAGTAAATTCAACTTGACAGAACAACAAGCTATTGGCAGCAAAATAAATGCCATTATACATCACCTCAGGTGTTGTGTGTATGTGTGTGTGTGTGTGTGTGTGCGCGCATGTGTACGCAATATGACAAAAGACAGCATTCACCATTTCTGAACTGCAATTACATTTCTCCCAAGAAAGTTATCCAGATGGGTTTGAAATATGCAACAATTTGTTTGGTCATTAAGATGCCTATTCATAACTGCTTTTCCTTGTAATTATACCAAACTAGGCAGTATGCCATGGTACTGATGCATTCTCTTTGTGCTCAAGTAGTTTTCTTCCCCTAAGGGGGGGGGCGGCCTTTTTTAATGTTCAAACCCCATCCATAACTATTAGCTTGTAGAGCACTAGTAGCTCCAAGAGCACACCCACTACAAATAAATAAATTGTCAGCAGTATTTTTGTTGTAATTAAATTTTATGTGAAGTTACAAATGTCATTACAAAGTATAATTATTTTCTCAACAATGTAATGAAAATGCACATCTTAATGGAAAAGTACTGAGCTTTTATGTTGCACTTTAGAGCTTATACCCTAGAGTCATGTGCCCTTTTCAAATGCAGATACTGTATGCAGCACGGCAGGTCATAAGTCTATGAAATGCAAAATACTGCTCAAGATTTGTTTGGCTATGTATTTAAACTGCTTTGTTTTTAACATGACTCATGATCACAACCTTATAATTCTGTCTACATATACAATAAATAAACTCAAATTGAAAATGAGTTGGTGCATCTCAAGGGGTTTAATTGTTTAAAATAAATACACTTTTTAAAGGTTTAAACCATTCAGACTTTCTTTTATTAAGGGATTGCTGAGGCAGAAAGGAATCCGGGGGGGCATATGATGCACCACGTTGTAACCACTTGGCTACGGGGTGCCCAATAAGGACACTTCTTGTTGGCACCAGATGCAGATGTGAATTTGGAATTTAAAATACAGGTTTGGGTCTTTTTAAGTTGGTTGTAAAACAATCTTGAAGAGCCCATATGTATGTGAGAATGCTGTTAAAATTGGGGGCCAACTACATAGCCCCTGTTCTGTGCAAAATGCAGCGAACTTTGTCTAGACAGAACTTCATCTGTCCTGCCAAGATAATCTGAGTCAGTACACAGTTACAATCTATTTAAGATAAATTTCCCTGTTCTGTGTCCCTACCGAGCTGTGGTGGAGAAAGGCTGCGTTCAGACTGAGTTTCAAATGTGTGAAGAAAAAAAAAAAAAAAACACAGCTCTCCCCTCATTCCTATGGGGGACTGCGCTCACCGCAGCTGGCACCAGCACTGCAGGGTCTCTGGCAAAACAAAACAGCCCTGTGCGGTGAAAAAGGTGCATCTGGATCAACTTTCTCTGCAAAGCACATTGAAATTATCTGGCAAGACGCTGCATTGACCAATCATGTAATGGGGGATGGTCAGAACATGCACACCCATAAGAACAAGACCTTATTTACCATGTTACAGTGAGCATTCACTGATATTCAGTCATTACTGCCTTGCCATTTCCTGTTTTGGGACTTTTATTTTGAAGCATTTCCTGTTATACCACCCTCACCAGCCCCAATTGACTCCGCTCCTGATTAGCCTCAATTATACACACCTGTTGCTAATTGTCTCTGCCTAGATTGCCCTTTATATCACTAGCTCACTTTCAACTCGGTTGTATTGAGTTTTCCTCCACACCACTTGTCTGCCTACTCAATCTGATCCACCAAACAAATACTCCAGTAAACTAATAATCAGAGTAGATTGTATTGTGCACCCAAACAACCTAAAGGAAGTGGCCTTTTCAAGCAAATCCAGAAAAAAACAAAACAAAAAAAAAACAACCACCAAAAACAAAGAGCTCAGAGTTCACACACAAACATCTCTTTTGGATTTAACAGGTAAGAATTTAGTTAACTTAATTCAGTTTCGCAATTCTGATACCAGTGAACACTCTTCCCAAACAAAAATGGTTCAGTATGTTTATCCACGAGTAAACCTTCTTCCTAAAAAGAAGATCTCTGAGCAGTTCCGATTATTTGTTTGGTTGAGTGTTTTTCCACAGGAGTAAATCCTCTTCCCAAATTAAATAATAAACCAAATTAAATAATAAAAGACCCCTCAAAATCAAATAAACTCACATCTCAAATGCTGCCCAAGTTATATCCAGTAGTGGGCAGCGGATTGTCTTCATGCACATAGGATATGTAGACTTGGACGAAGATCTGTATTTGAGGAGGCCTGAGGTGAGAGAGTTCCGTAGCTCAGAGTATCGCTCTTACTGACCGTGGACTACAGATGACCAAGGATAGGCCCGGACGCTGCAATGGTGGACACACTGCTAGACGGACGTTGCCGGTATGCCGCCATCTGCTTCTTTTTCTTATAAGGTGTCTTGGCGGTTTGCAAGCCAATTTAAGGTACATTACCGCCATCTCCTGGGCAGGATTCCGCCATCTTGTTTTGTATTCGCCATATTTAAAGAAAGGGGGGCGGACTATGGTGGATCCTAGAATCCCATTAGTAGAATAAAAGAGGTGTGTCTGGGTTGCCATTTGAACAGGTATGCTTTTAATTAGTTGATATTGGGTTTTTTTTTTATATTGAGAAGACAAACAAACAAAAAACTTTAAGTATGGCAGATTTCTACAGCACTGAGAGTCTAGTTATCCCCCTGAGTTGTGTTCTGTGTATTATTATACCTTCACCTTCACTTTGTTTTGCCATTAAATGACTTCATACCATAAGCCTGCATTTTGGGTTTCTAAAAATATTTGTCTAATATTTGGGCCACAGACAGCTTGCCATGCATTTTTGTTAGTTATTAGATGTTAAATACATTATTGATTTGAATCTTTTAGTCTGTTCCAGCCACAATAGCCACATCATGCATTATGAATAGTGACAAGGACTTTTTCTTATGAGCCTTGCAGGGGGTACAAAAACATCCTAAAAGTTAAGGTTATGCCATCAACCTGCAGCCTTGTACATAAACAAGCTGGGACATAGCCCGGGGTATTTAGAGCTACACTCATGGCCATGTATGTAGCTTTTTTTGCACTGGGAACAACATTTCCTATTTATTTCCTCACTAGCTACTTATCATAATCATGAACTATTCAGTAAAATGTGATATATCACTTCAATTTGATGCACAAAAAGAGTTGAATCATGACTAGTTAGTGCCACCCAGCTGCTGATACAGAGTTAACCAGGAACAACTCATGAAGACAGTGGTTATCGCTCTGTTTCACAGATAGTGGTGAACTAAACGTTATCTACAATTTTTTTAAAACTTGAAACACCTATGTTAACCTGGGAATAGCGTGTTTGGGAAGAGAGGTGGTTTGAAGATAGATGGACCAGAAAAACTGCGATTGCAGCTGTGGGGCAAAGTTGAAGCGACGACTAGAGCAATGCTGTGAACATCCCAGGAAGTGAGCAGAGCACAGTGTCAGTTTAGTGTTGGTGGGCAGGGTGTGGTACTCTGCCCAAAATACATGAGTCCACAAATGCCCGACTCTGTTTTGGAGAAGCTTGTGGCCTGCTCCATTAGAACTTGACTGCTGTGTTCTCTTTGTTCAAGGCTGCCTTGGTGGAGAGAGGCACCGCTGTGGGCTCCCACTCGCACAGCCATATCCCTCACCCCTGCAAACAGCTGGACTCTTAAGTTGAATTATGTTTTATTTGTCTCCCATTTTATCAGACTGCACTCTCCCTGTTCTAGTATGTAAAATTGTTTTGTGTTTTTATTGAACTCCTGGTATTTTTTGTTTTAACCTTACTTTCTTGTTTCTCTTTTGAACTCACTGACCTATACCTCTACCCACCATCCTGGTGTAATAGCCTTAATACCTGGGCTTGATTGTTTAGGTATGTTGTTGTTCAGTGTTGTGTTTGCTCCATACACAGTTTAAAAACAACTTTTGTGCTTATAAATCATTTAATTGTTTACCATCCAAATTTTCAACTTGGAAAATAGCTCTTTGTAACTCTGTGAGCTTTACAATACTCATTCATAAAAATAGTGTCTCAGTTTGTTTCCTAGGAGTTCATATCTTCTTTTAGGGACCTCACTTGAGCAAGTACAGCAGTAGTAGCCTACAGTTGGTTTGCAATCATAAGGCATTTGTCATGTATTATTCTGTGTGACATGCAAATGCCTTTCTTACATCAAATAGGATATGCTCTACTTAAGCTTTAATCATGCAGGGACACTTGAGGAGGGTGAGCAGAAAATTCACTTTCTCCCTTGAAAGCCAAAAGAGATCCAGTAGCGTTCACTGTGGTCAAATTAATGTCAAGACATGAAATGTGATGGTTGAATATTATTTGTAAGGTTTATAACAAAGTTCAAGCGGTGCAGTGGTTAGCACCTCACAGATAGAAAGCTCCGGGTTCAAGACCTGGCTGATCCGGGGCCTTTCTGTGCAGAGTCTGGATGTTTGTCTCTGTGCCTGCGTGGGTTCTCTCCGGGTAGTCCGGCTTCCTCCCACAGTCCAAAGACATGCAGCTTAGGTTGACTGGTGAATCTAAATTGCATGTAGGAGTGACTGTGTGTGTGGTTGTTTGTCAGCTCTGTGACAGACTGGTGACCTGTCCAGGGTGGACCCCGCCTCTCACTCAATGTCAGCTGGGATTGGCCCTGTTCAGGAATAAGCAATATAGATAATGGATGGATGGATAACAGAGTTCTCCTGAACATCAAAAATGATCAAACTAATAACCTGCTAACTTGTATTATCATTAATAAGAAACCATATGCTCTGTGGAATCTACGAGCTCTGTTAGGTGAAAGAAAGTAGCATAGTCAGTAAGAGCACGGAGATGCTGCAGCGTTGGCAGAGCCTCAGTGACTCGAGGATTTGCAGAATTAGGTCCCTTCTGATTTTTCATTTTGAGAATAATCACTACCATGGAAAGAGGCACGGCCACTGTTCCCTCATATTGGCTCTCTCTTCTCATTTGGGAATGCACATTTAAATGTACTAAAACTGTGGAAAATGTTCACTAACATGTCTAAAACTGTACAAACTAATGCAGTCCATCCCCGGAAACAAAGACAAACTCTGGGTGAATCGTTGTAATTATTAAATAAAGTGTCAGGTATGTGCTGACTGAACTGCAGTAGACTGGATTAGTTTTAGAGATGATTCTTAACACCACAAAAAACCCTACCCATGTAATCTCCAGTGCAACATCAACTCTAAGTAAGGCCTTAATTTACAAGAGCATTAGGTCAACAGCTCTCTGTGACATTAAAAGCTTCACAGAGGTGAGATTTATTGCTAGGCTCCTACATTAACATGCATTAGGTTGTACAAGTGTCATCACTGCTTAACTCTACTGTGATTTACAGAGTTCTGACTCCACTCCAAATTAAGTGCCGCCTTCTTTTTTAACAATATTGGATTATGTGCACAGAAAGATTTAGATGTGTCATGAGAAACCATATGCTCTGTTAGGTGAAACATGCCAGACTTAAAAAAAATGTCATTCATTTTTAAATATTGTGGTTTCTGCCACTGTGGTAGTTCCTTTTTTCACTAAATGAAATTTAATGCTGTTAGGTCTTTCTATAAAGCTTTCCTTTGATTATCCATTTTCTCTTTCTGAAGCCACCTTAGTTGGACCTTCTTCCTGTTTTGCAGGCCTCTATGTGAAATCTAAAGCAATGTGATTTAAACATTAAACAAAATAATGATTTAAAGTCAAAATTGAGCGTCAACCTGAAATCTTGCATGAGCTTAATGAATAAAATCATCATATCAAAAGGGGAGCCTGAGAAGAGAGACAGACATTTAACAACAGAGCAATTTGACTTTGTAGATAATTCCTCTGTGTATGGTAAACAGGTTGGAAGCACTTCAAGAATCATACCTCAAACATAGGACAGCAGCTCCATGTGTAACACTGCAGCTGTGCACAGGCAGTTGTGAAGATCTGAAACCAAGTGAAGCAACATGAAAAGGACATTGATCTGAGGTACTGTTAGCTCTACAGTTGTCTGCTAATAAGCAAGAATTGTGTTGAAAAACAGAACATTTGCAAATGACTGTATTAACCACATGGATTTGGGAAATGTTCTTATGGTAACTTTGTGTTGGGCTGTGGTTTGTTCAACTATAATGTGTAATGTTTAAATAAGTACGGCAAACAACAAGCAAACTTCTTCTTGAATAAGTAAAAAAAAAAAAAAAAAAAAAACTACATAAAATCCACTCAGAACCCAACACTAATAAACCATGACATTCAGTGAGAAGTATAGAATGACACAGCATGTCCTGAGCCTTAGGATGTTGCTAGGAATACAAATTAGATTCACCTGAGTTTACACACAATATACACAATATATCACATAAAAGACTTCCTTCTCTTCTGTGTTACACCTCTGTGTTGTTTTATTCTCTCAAATACAAACTGTAACACTACTAACCAAAACTTAACAACTAAAACATGAGATTGTGTTATAAAATCCACATCAAGTACCCAGACTGGAGCTTCATCTTTGTTTATGTACAGCTTTACCTCAAAATGGCCTGTATTATCACTTGCTTATCTAATCCCCCTCCTGTTGTGTACAGTTCCTCAAGTGGTTTAAGGCAGTCCTGTCATTTGTTGATCTGCATCTTAAGAGGAAAAGGGAGCACTTGATTTGAAGCAACGGATATCCCTGCTAATGCAAACACAGCAGAAATGTTTCCATGTATGATGGAGACTGTGAACGAGATCATGATTAATAAGTGATTAATCATGGCACGTTACTTTACCTTGATCCTATTTGAACCTTTGAAAGATAAGAGTACAGATTACAGTTATACTGTAAGATGCATCTAGCTGGACAAGTTCAAAGAGCTCCATAGCAGAGAACTGAGGATAAAAGGAAAGCATGCTGCAAACCAAGGTTTCAACTACGAATCCACTTATTATCCCCTTAAAATTCCGTCTGGACATCCCTCCCCAGGCAGTTTAACATCCACTGACTCATATGACTCTGACAACTTGTGCCATGGCTTGGTAGGACTCACATGTGACTTCCACTGCCCTCAAGGTGTCATAACTGAAGAAGCCTCTCAGATGGGAGGTGAAATGTCTTTAAGGACCTCAAACAAGTCCAGTTGCCAACTTTAGAACTTTGCACATACCATGACCTGGATGACGGAGAATCACCACTGTCAACCAGTTCAGTCACATCCAACTCACTAGAGGAGTACTTATCTGCATGAGAGGAGACAAATACAATCATTTACTTTTTGCATTGCTCTACATATGTTTGTTGCAGTGGGTTTACTTGTGTCTGATGAAAACTGTGCCCAGAAAAGTGCCGAAAGTGGCAGAGCTTAGTAGAGTGTGGGTACCCGAACCAAGCCTGACAGGACCCATCGGTACCTGAGGGTTCAGGCCGAGTTTGGACAGAAATTTAAAAATTATATTTGGGTCCATATTGGGTTCAGACACATAGCTCAAACTTTAGGCTACAGGGTCAAATGTCTGCTTTGTATAATGATAAGGGGAAAAACACAGCACAAACTCAAGTGCGACAGGCTCCAGTCAGGTTTGGGTATTATACGTATATGATAAGCTTGTCAGGTCTGGGTCGGGTTTGGACACCACACTCTTGGGCATGGGTTGGGAGCAGTTAATGTAGAGACTACAGATTTACTGCTGATGTTTCCAAATGCCCCAAATTTAATGGTAACTAACATGTTAGTCAATCTCAAAATGCTCACCAAGAACTTGCCCGGAAAGTTACCACAAGGTTCCAGAACGTTCTAATCTCCAGCGTGACGACATCCCTCTCGCTGACATGCGCATGAAGATTTCTTTAAGTATCAATGAGTCAAGTAAATTGAAGCTGATGTTTAAAAGTCATGAAAAAAAACATACTGTACACAACCACTCACACCATTTGAGTAGCCTAACCACAAATATGGGTAATGTAGCTGTTTTTTTAACATAATTTTATTAAGAAAATAACTATAAAAATATAAATATAAAACAACAACTCAGCATTCAAACTGCTTGAACAGCTTCAAACTGAGTGTATGACAATTTTCCTACAACACACACTTTCAGTACATATTATACCTATATGAAGAAATTAATTCACAGTTTGACAAATAAACTGCACCAACCATTCACGTTAACATTGTTTGTCAAACAAAGATAGCAAATAGTATATAGGATGTCCATCATTAAAAACACTTTGTACATTTACAGTATTGAATGGAATTGGCTTGTAAGATGAATGGACTCCTTCCCTACCCCGCCCCAACCCAGTCTAGTGCCATTAAACATTGATAGTATACAAGACTACTATCTCTCAGGTTGATTACAAAACACTGTACACACCATTGTTCACAAAAAAATCCTAATATTCAAAGGCATTTGTACTGATTATGACCAAAACAGTAAAACTTTGAGAATTATATTGTATCTCCATTAATGAGAAAACTCAACTCATTTCGTCTAAACTCCAGAATCCACAGTTGGATTGCACGAGTTTTGTTTGAGCACACGTGTGTTTCTTCTTGTGTTCACACACGTGGATGAGAATCAAACAGACAACTAGTTAACTAGCGAGTTAGCTAGCAAACTAGACAGATAAACAGATAGTTTTATAGATAGATAGACAGACAGTCAACCAGCTGGCTAGCTGACTAACTAGACAAAGTGCTGTCTGGCTAGTTAGCTAGATAAACAGACAAAAAATTGGCTTGTTTAAAAAAAGGAGAGACTGGCATGGATGTTTCTAGGTCTCTCTGTCAGGGCTCTTCACTATGTACATCTCTGCCAACTTTTTGAACTGTGGTCCCCAGTTGCTGAGGTAATCATAATCCTGGTCCCCCTCTGTAGCTGCAGATTCCAGTGAACTGAGGGATTCTGCCAGTGACCCACTACCTTCATAAGCATATGTGGCCAGGGAGTCATAGGGGGGTGCTGTGGGATCTGAATCATTCTCCTGAAGCCTCCCATTAATGAAATCTCTGACATTTGTGTTATCCTTTATAGGTGATGTCCTTCGAAAGGGAAACAGCATTTCAGGTATGATGTCTCTACGTAGCTTGTTAGTATCCATCACCTCCGGGTTGCGCAGAGTGCCAATGTCAAAAGCCTGAGTATCCTCCTCTCCGCCCCCTTCATCGTTGTAGCTGACAACGTTGTCTCTGACGTCCTCTTTAGAGATGATCAGAGGCTCCTTCTTTCTCTGTCTCCTCAGGGCAGCAAACAGCACCACAATCACTGCACAAAAACAGCGGGAAATACAGAGAGAGGAAGCTCAGCATTGAATGTGTGCTTCCTAACATGTGCCATGCGTTAAAGAGCACAGAACAAAAACAGAGAGGTGAGGCATTTACTACAGTTTTAAATCCTCAACACTGCCTTAGGCACTCACCTCTTATTATTAAAGATTCAGTAAAAAAGCATTGCTTTCTGTTAAAATGCACTTTTTCTGCATGAAGTGCACATTGGTAGGATTCTTTTTTTATACTCTCCAGCACACAACCTCATCTCTCATATTGTTCCTTCTTGTTTAGCAGTAAAAGACAATCAGAAAATGCAGAGTGAGCATGTGGTACTACGTGGTAGCAGGTTTTTTTTGTTTTTTTTTTATTTAATAAACTCATACTTATTCAGGAAAAGAGAAAGCAATCGCTCATTTAGTACAAGTCCTGCTTCACCTCATGATGCTCATGATTTCCGGGTTGCAAGCGAGAGCAGACGTCTTTACTGCTCCTCTTGTCTGTTCTACGATTTTTCACATCTTCTACATTTTCAAGTCTTTGAACAAATTCTATAACTATTAAAATGCCTCCAAGAGGGGAAAGAGCTAATAAATCAGAAGCAAACGAGGATGTTGAAGCAGAAGAGGATTATATTTCAGCGGCGCAAGTAACAGAAATGTTGAGTCAGCAGAATCTGATGTACACCGCACTGTTGAGCCAACAACAAGACAACTTCAAAAGTTTTGTGCAACTACTTATGGAGACAAATAACAAGAGACTCAACGACATGACCAGAGAAATACAGGAGATAAAAATGAGTTAGCAGTTTACCCAGTGAGATATGGATGTGAGCCATGGGTGAACAGAAAATACAAACCAAGGAAACAAGGGATGATGTCTACAAAACTTGAGAGTGTAATAGCCATAACGGATAAAATGGAGCATTTGGAAGTACAGTCCAAGCGAAAAAACCTGATCTTTGAGGTAATCAAGGAGTCAGCTGGAGAAAGCTGGACGGATGCGGAACATAAGGTGAAGGAAATATTAAAGGATAAACTGCAAATTCATCAAGAAATTGAGATGGAGCGGGCTCACAGAGTCGGGAAACCT